ATTAAGTATGATTTCCCGTTACAAGGAATTTGACATTTATGCTCACCGTTACATCTTCATCCATGGCCCTCATAATTGACATTAAAGAAGGGCACGATCCTAGGACCTCCTTCCCTACATGTAGCTATAAATATCGAGATCAGTTATCATTGTAAATGAGATGATTTTTCTGGCAAATCAAGACTACAATCTACAAAAGCTCTATATAACTTTATCTTCTTATTTTTTGATTTTATTGCTGTTGTATTTGGAAGCTTCTCTCCTGGAATTACTGTTTCTGTTATTTCATCCTCATCTCAAGGCTAAGTATTGCATATTTATTCAATTATCTTATTATTTCATGATCAAATGTCACGCCCCAACCTCGGGAGGCGCGACCTGCACTCAATCGAGTGAACCTAACTGAGCAAGCCTTATCAAACACTTCCTACCCAACTCAATATGAATAAGGAAACCATGCTTTCATTTATTTAGACGAGGAAAGATAGTACATTCTACGTTGTCAGTTCATTTTATATCACAACATTAAGTCGTAGTTAAGTTCCAAGATTCCATACAATTACACTTTAGAGAAGCGAGAGTTAGAATTACAACATAGTTCGTAGACCCATCCAATACCCGTATATAACCCACATATCTACGGAGCCTTTAAGGATGCAAAAGATAATGATGACAACGCCGGCAACAAGGCCCCGGCTATACCTCAAAAGTGGATGTCTCTATCAAAAGATGTACAATATAACCCCTTGAAGGAGAAAAGGGCTCACCAAGACTTTGAGAAGAAGGTACTCCACTACGCGCGATCGACACTATCCGCAATAGAGCCACCTACATTCATTTAAAAATGTAGCGCCCCCATCAAAAGGGACTTAGTACCACGGAATAATACTAGTATGTATAACTAAACACCATCTAGTTAGAAAGAACTTTCATACCAAACATACGGAAAGTACAAGTATAACTCAACAGCTTTAAATGATCACAACATTATCAATGTAGAAGAATCATACAATTTTCGCATTATGTTTCTATAGCCTTTAGTTTGGGACATTTCATACTGTTCATCATTGTTCGCTATACCACCGCTAGCTTGAGCGGAGTCCGATCTCGACCCGATCGGCTAGGTTGTCTCATTTGAGACATACACTTCAATCACAATCTCATTTTCCCCTTTTTATTCGAGGTTCAATATCAACACAATACCACCATGTGTGCGACATGGCGTCCGATCTCGGCCCGATCGGCTAGGCCGCCTTACCAAGGCATTTCCCTTTTCCATCAATCATCTCAATTCAATCTTTGTATCACATATATCATTTCATAGGCACTTGGGGCCACATCTATCACTTCATATATTTGGCACTAGGCCATATTTCACATCATTCCCAATTTCAATGTTAGATTGGTAATTTAGCATAATATGTGCACACAAGAGTAAATAAAGTTGTATGTGTAGATGAGACTTCACATAGAGGACACAACATATACAGCTTCAATCTCAATTTAAGGTCTAAGCATTTCAGTACATGATTCATATTTCTGGAAGCCTTTCAAGTTATCAAGAATAGCACATTTATCATATTGAGACTATAGGTGTTAAACGGGCCGGGTCAGCCCGATTCCGGACCGACACAGACCGGTTAAAACCGGAACCGGCCCGGACCGGTATAAGGGGGCTGGGTTAAGGGGGACATGCGGGTTGCACCGTTCACATTTGAAATACAGATTACCCAGACCGGTATAACCCAGTAGATGAACAGTGATATCAAACCGGTTAACCGGCCCGGCCCAGACCGGTTTAACGGTAAAAAAATTAATTTTTTTTTAAATATGGGCCCAGATCTGACCATTGGCAATGGTCCATTTTAGAAAATGGTCGTTGCCCAACGACTAAATTGCACAATTAGCCCAATTTTGGGTTTTTTTTAAATTAACCCCCCCTTTCAAAAACTATAAATACCCCCCCCCCCTCATTTTTTCACTCATCTCTCAATTCTCATATTCTCTCATTCTTCAATCTTCATTCTTCACCTATTAAAGTGCAATCAACTATTTGGCTATTTTTTTTGGAATTTAATTTATCGTAGTATTTATTTTTTGAAGTTTGAACAATTGAACTTCAAAATTGGAACAACTGACGTTTCTTCGTGGTAACATTGGACTTGCGAAATCATCAAGTGCTCAATTTATTGCCGAATTCGGTGCATTCCCTCCAATTCGGTGCGAAATCACCAATTAATGAATGCTTTATATACTTATATGGGGATTGGACCAACTGAAACCCCAGATTTATATAATTGTATGAACAAGCTAAATGAATATTTACAACAATTATATAATTATTATGCAAATGTAATTGATGATGCTGCTCGTAGTGTAGGCAATGTTAATCCCACTATGCACTGTACCACTTCTGCTACTGTGGATGATGAATGTTACATCAGAGAGTGTATTTAGCCAAGCAAGACAATAACTTGGAGACCACTCGTCACTTATTGGGAAGTAATGCTTTGGAAGTTTTAGTATGTTTCAGAGATTGGATTAGATCGGAACGAAGAAATCAAGGACGTGAAGATGTTGATAGCCCAGAAGACGAGGATCTTGGAGATATATTAACACATGGTAACCCATGCGAATTTAACACTCTAGAAGAAGGTCACTCAGTTCATATTGATTATGAAGAACTTACTAAGGCAATGCAAAACCTTTGAATTTACTCTTTTTGGTTAATTTACTTGTTGTTAAATGTAAATCTTTCAATTTTTAAGTTTGAATTTTGAAATAAATGTAGCACTTGCAATTTATAAGTGCAATTTTTTTCCATCTTCCTTGTATTCTTTATATTAATACTTACAACTTACAATAGTTATACAAAATACAAAAAAAAAATAAAAAATACACTACACCCGGCCCGGCCACCTCAACCCCTAACCCTTAGGGTTCAATTTTTACCGGGATGAACCCGAACCCGTTAAACCCGGTAAGCCCCAACCCGTAACCGGCCCGGACCATAACCCGTACGGGTCCAAAAAATCCCAACCTAGCTCGGCCCGGCCCACCCGTTAAACACCCTTAATTGAGACACATCTTTCACGCATATAAAGTTGCAACCCCAAATTCATGTGAAACAACAATCCATACAACAATTCAACTTTAATCTTACCATAATTACGCAAACGCCGACGGAGCTCGATTTCTAAAAGACGGGGTTTTAGCCATACATACCTCAACTGAGCTTTCCTTAATCCTATAACATTCCGGAGTGTTCGCACTTCAATCTATTTAAGCAATATAGCACAATTGAACCTATAATCAGGAAAAGATCATAATCTGAGCTCACTTGAGCATTTTATCAAGCATTGAGTGTTCATTAAGGCCTTATGGTCCTTTTATGCAAGATTACACTTAGCCCATTCCCCATGCCTCTCTATTTATAATTTTCCCATATCTTCTAAGAACACATGCATGCAATGCAATCACCCTTATCCCATGAATTTCCTCACTAATGACCCCTTATAGCTATGTATAAAATTAAGAGCTGAGGTGATGAAGTCTTACCTCCTAGGATGAAGGTTTTGGTGCTCCACTTAATTATCTTCAATGTTTTTAACAAGGATTTGTGGAGCAATTTTGATGAAAGGCACTTGCCCTCTCTTAGACCCTCCCTCTCACTCTAAAAGCACCAGGAAAATAGGCTCAAAATGAGCTATTGCACAGAATATAACGACAGGGGGTTGAGTTTAAAATTTAGAAATTTGGAGCCCCAACTCAGATCTATGATCGCAAAATTGACATGCGGCCCGCAGAATGGACCGCAAAAATGCTCCCAAAAACCTGAACAATCTGCCTGGGTATGCAACCAGAATGCGGTCAGTATACCCGTTCTGCGGTCGCAAAATGCACCGCAGAACCACTCCTCGCAAAAGTTCCAAGGGGATTATGCGACGACTATGCGACCCGCATATCGACTATGCGATCGCATATTTGGCCGCATAGTTGACCTCAAAATTAACCTTCACACTGCCTGACTCTGCGGTAACTATGCGGTCCGCATAGCTATTATGCGACCGCAGAGTTGATCGCAGAATTGCACTTTTCTGGAAAACACTATTCTTTAACTTTTTAATGCACAGATCAATCCAAATAGTCAGAACCTATGAATTTCTAACACATGATCCTAACTTGGCACCACAAGACTCGGGTTTTTGAGTAGAAATTTTATGGGGTCTTACATCAAATTAATTCACTTGTCTAGAAATCACGTATAAATTTAACTGTACCATTTTACTGGTAAACAAGTATGATATACTTTTATTCATAGATTGATATTACTACCTAAGGTTTAACTGCTTTATTGGCGTCGGTCATATTTTTATATTGGTGTTATTCCTGCTTGTTGTCATTACTTTTTTCATCCGTTCTCCGGCCGAGGGTCTATCAGAAATAACCTCTCTGCCCTTCCAGGGTAGAGGTAAAGTTGCGTATATCTTGTCCTCCCCAAATACTACTTGTGAAAAATTATTGGATTTATTGTTATTGTTGTATGTTGTGGGTGAAACATAAGTATAGACATAATTATATACATAGTACATATTTTGAGAATCCACAATTACAATTCGGAACCAGTAACTTTTAAATCATGGAGTCGTGACTGCAAATCCAAATTTATAAGTTTAGTGATCGCTTGGCAGGGTGTATTAGGGAAAAAATAATACATGTTAGCTTTGGTATTATTAATCTCTTGTTTTTTACTAGTATTTTTCAACATATGTATAACTAATACTGTATTAGTTATACACCTTATTTAATACTATTCTTATAATAGCACAACATAACATTAGTAATACCATAATTTCTAATTGAATACGCATATATAAAGACAGAATTGCCCTTTTAAAATTCAATTATTATTCTCTACTAAATAAAGGTTTAAGGCTGGAAATGCCAAAAAGGGATATGCAATAGAGTATTCAATCCTCGCCTCCACTTTGCTCTCTACCCGGGAAACCATTCTAATCCAATGGTATGAATTGAAAACACTATTATTATTGTCTAAAAATTGTAATATATTGATCGATAAGAATAACTATTTCTTGATACAATGGCAAAAAACATAGATGCCCCCCCTAAACTTGGTAATATTTTTCACTTAGACAGCTAAACCAAGGATAGTTCCTACTGAACACTTGAAGTGAAACAAATTGTATCAAATAAACACACACTGTTGATATGGCACAATACATATAACACATCACTATTGAGGCGCGTGAGAGATTTCGTTTAAAAAAAATCTCCAATCTCTTTCTTCCTCTTTTCTATTGCCCCCACTTCTGCCACCATAGCCGCTACTCCGCCACAGTCCAACCAGCTCTATCTTTCAAATTCAATTCCAATGACAAAATTTACGGCCAACACCAAAAATCTTTTTTAGATAGAAAAATGGCACCACCGAATTACTTCTATCTTCCTCTATTCATCTCTACCCAGCTCCTCCCCTACTCGACCATCGCCACCACGGCACCACCGCGACCCCCGAGCCCAAACTGAAGTCCACTCCTTCACCATCTAAGTTCACTTCAATCACTTTGCAGTCTCTACTATTATTACACTGCTATGAATTTCACTTATGAAAACCTTCAGTCTCAGCTCTCAAATAACCCACCCATCACCTTCACCGCCAAAAAAAGATTAGTTCAACGCAAAACATCACTATTATTAGATCTCATAGAAGATGGGTTCTCTCTGAAAATTTGAGTGTTGTATTTTTGTTCCTATAAGCTCTTGATGATGAACAGTTTCCTTTACAAAACGTTGTTGATTTCAAATATCTCTCTTTTATGCTTGAATTTGTATCGTTGGTATACTTAGATTTCTAATCAAGGTTATCAATGAGAAAAAAAGTTTACTGAAAATGGGGAAGAATGGGTTTATAAGAGAAGAAGCAGAGGTATCGATTTTTGATCACCGTTTTCTTTTCTTTTTTTCTTTTTTTCAATTTTAGCTTTTTGAGTGTTCTCTTCTTATTGGTCTTACATGTCACGTCAGAAATCGAGTGATACACACGCATTTTTGTTTGTTTGAAGCTGCAAAATTTGTGTCCAATTAACATATTTTGTCTTCACTTTAAGTGTTCAATAGGCACTATGTATTTAAGTGCCAAGTGAAAAATATTGCCAAGTTTAAGGGGCTTCCTATGTATTTCGCCTTATGCCTATATGTTTTGACTAATTATTTCATTATATGTGTGCAACTTCGTTTCTACACATCGAATAAAGTATATAAAGCAAAAAAATAGTTGCTATTTGTGTAAATAGATAATTTTAAAAAAAAATACTGATGTATATTATTTTTAATATACTAAACCAAACAATCAATAAGAAATATATCAATAAAACTAATTCCAGCATTAATGATACCCCATATTCAGTAGTATTGTTATACATACTACTGAACGACTCCTAAGTTTTGATTCATCTTTCTTTTTAGGCACCAAATTCTGCAAAATGACATTTTAATCCTCGAGTGTTAGCAGGAAAGGCGCAAAGCTAGCATTAGTCATTCCGACACTTCCGCCGCCGCTCGGCAATTGCAACCACACCAATATACCGCCGTGGTTGGTTTATCGCCGGCTTGTCAAATTCTTCCTCTCTTTTCAAGTCAAGGTCAGCAATCAGTATAAACTGTTGACCAGCTCTTTAATCTCATCCCTTTCTAGTCAATTTGTTTAGAGATAAAGATTCAGCTGTATTATTTTTATTTTCCCGTATTTTCCTTTCTTTATTACTGGCCATACAGTGTAGGATCCGAGGCTATCTATTACAGTGTATTTGTTGAAGGGTATATATTTGCAATTGATGAAAGACGGATTGAGGTTGACTGAGTTATTTCATGTATATATTTCGAATAATTAGAAAGCATCCGGGTTTTATTGACAGCTAATAATTTTGCAAATTGAATTAAATTTCTGTTCCTTACAGTCCATATACTGTAAGATCCAAAACTGTATATACATTGTGTCTGTTGAAGCCTAGCTGTCTATGAATTTACATTTGCTGAAGCATAGTTTGGGAATACTTTATTGCTCATATTTTATTTTGAATAATTAGAGCATCCAGGTTTAGTTTGATCGTCTTTATGATTTAGCCACCTTTCATTTTACCTGGCACTCTGCATGTGAGCTGTCGCGGGCTGCCCAGTAGATCAGTGTACGACGTTAGGGGAATTGTGTACAATTAGAAGCATAACGGCTATATCCTAAACTGCAACTCTTTTGGTCAAGATACTCAATTTGGTCAGCATTTGTTATTATCTCAGGGATTGTACTAATTTATTCGCCTTATCAGAAAAGATGGAGTACAGAAACAAGCTTGTCTTGGCTCCAATGGTCCGAGTGGTAAGTATCTTCTACTGAAATTGGTGAATTAGAGCATCTTTTGCTTCTTTCTTTCTCTTTTTTCTTTTCATTTTTTGGTACCTGTTACTTGTTTATTCTGTGGTTGCTTTCTTATTCATTTTCCCATCCCTAGATCGGTATTTCTCTTTCTGAAACTCAGTTCTGGCTTTCCAGGAGCTATTAATTTCACTAGGAAGCATAGTTAAGACTGCTTTTAGTATGTCTGTTCTTTATCATATGTTGTTTGTAGATGCCTATGGATCTTATGCTTTCATTTACTTTTGGTCAGGGTACATTGCCATTTAGGCTGCTTGCTGCCCAATATGGTGCGGACATAACCTATGGAGAGGAGATTATTGATCATAAAATCATCAAATGTGAGCGGAGAGTTAATGGTAATTTCTTATTCATCCTTTTTACGGCATTCTATCCGTATTGTCCTTTAACCTTAAGTTTGTTATATATCTTAAGTATCATGTAGTATGTAGAGATATTACTTATGTGAAAGGATGAAATCAACAACTTCAAAAAATACCAATGAAGCAAGGACATTGCCGGTCTTGATTTTATGCAAGATCCTTTATTTGATGAGTATAACCTTGCTCTGAATGGTGTTGTATATGTCAATCGGAATACTTCTATATTTAGTGGATTATCAAGTTGTTACTCCCTTCGTTTCAATTTAAATGACACGCTTTCCTTATTAGTCCGTTCCAAAAAGAATGACATATGTCTATATTTGGAAACAATTTAATTTTGAACTTTTTATTTTACCTGGTTGACCTTAATGAGAAGCTTTTATAGCCACACAAATGGCGTGACCCCACAAAGCTTTTACCCTTAAACTTTTGGGACCACATATTTCAAAAGACTTCTTTTTTTCCTCAACTTTGTGCCAACTGCCAAGTCAACTACATCATCTAAATTGAAACGGAGGGAGTATATGTTAGTGAATGAAGGATGAGGACTCTGAACTTCATTATGTTATGGCTCTCTCTATCAAGAAATTGAGCGTTTTAATTGAAGATATTTGATGATGAGAAGTTGTACCTGGATACGTAGCTTAAGTGGAATATTTGAGAGATGATTGAACCTTTACTGATGATAGTTATATCAGAACTTTAAAACAAAAAATGGATGTTTTTAGTCTGAGTGCTCATCGCCCAAATTGAGCCTTTTAATTGAAGATATTTGATGATGAGAAGTTGTATCTGGATACGTAGCTTAAGTGGAATATTTGAGAGATGATTGAACCTTTACTGATGATATATCAGAACCTTAAAACAAAAAAAACTGGATGTTTTTAGTGTGAGTGCTCATTGCCCCTCGAATACCAAACACAGATTTGTAGCTATTATCTAGGCCCTGTACATTGACATAGTATAGATGTCATCTGATAACTGATTCAGTAGCTTTCCAAGTGGAGAAGATTGATTCAAAGACATTTTTCTGCGAAAGGTGAGGCTGGATTCACAAGTTATCCCTGAGAAAGAGAGTTTCAAGTACCTCGGATTTGTAATCCAAGGTAATGGAGAGATTGATGAGGATGTCACACATCGAATTGGAGCGGGATGGATGAAATGGAGGCTCGCTTCCGGGGTTTTGTGCGATAAGAAGCTGCCACTAAGACTTAAAGGTAAGTTCTACAGAGTGTCGGTTAGACCAACTATGTTATATGGGGAGGAGTGTTGGTCTGTTAAGAACACCCATGTCCTGAAGTTGAAAGTAGCAGAAATGAGGATGCTGAGATGGATGTGTGAGTATACTAGGATAGATAAGATTAGGAATGATGATATTCGGGACGAGGTTGGAGTGGCCCCCGTGGAAGACAAGATGCGGGAAGCTAGGTTGAGAGGTACGAGCATGTGAAAAGGAGGTGCATAGATGTCCCGGTGAGGAGGTGAGAGAGGCCGGCCATGGTGGGGCCGAGGAGAAATAGAGGTAGGCCTAAGAAGTATCGGGGAGAGGTGATTAGACATAACATGACGCAACTTCAACTTACTGAGGATATGACCATTGATAGGGGGTATGGAGATTGAGAATTAGGATAGAAGGTTAGTGGTTAGGCGCAATGTTATTAAGGGCGCTCGCTTTAAGCGATGAAGCAAGGCGAGGCGCAAGGTTAGCGCTTTTCTGCTAAAAAGGTGACTCACATTCAAAAAACGTGCACTTTTCTCGCTTAAGCGAGAAGCGAGCCGATAGAAAAAGCGAGAAAAAGCGTGCTTAAGCGAGCAGAAGGCATCACCTAGGGTTTTTTTTTAAAATTTTTGGCAAATAAACCATGTGAACAAACAAACATACGCGACTTCTTCTCCAGCGAACTCCAGTCTTCTCCAGATCTCGGTAAGTTTCTTCAACTTCTTCTTCTTCTTCTTCTTCTTCTGCTGGTCTTCTTCTTCTGATGGAATTCTTTCAATTTTTTTCACTTTTTAAGTGCTCATTTTGTGCCCTAAATGACTTCTTCTTCTTCTGTTATTAAAAGTGCTTTGTTTTATGCTGCTATATGCTCTGTTTTCTGCAATTTATGCTCTGTTTTCTGTTTTCTGCAATTTATCAGTGAATTAATTGTTATTTTTTTTTGGTTGTTGATTGTAGTAAATTTAATTTGATTATTCAATG